CCCCCTCCTGTGTTAGTGTTGGTAGCATTTGCGATGATGGGAAACGGGATCATGCTTAGAAGGATTTGTGGCTCAACATTATTTGTGCGTTATTGTCAGCCATTGGAAGATGTAATACATTTTATGCACTTTATTTGCTGTAATTTTTATAAAAAATACTTTATTTACCGTACATTGTAATTTAAAAAAATATAAATGGTCTTTGTTTCCCTGTAAATCCTTCATGGTTTCAGTTTTCGATTTTTATATTCGAAAGAAAAATGATTTTGTTGACTTTGCTGATAAGGATGACCAGAGTTTTGAAAAAACATTTTTGTGTCACGACATGGTGGAATCAGGCGTTCGTCAGTTTTGTGACATACGGACTTATTGGTGTCATCTTAAAGCCTGTCCATTTGCTTTGCTTCTGATGGAAAAAAATTATCCATTTATCTTTTGTAAAAGTCTAGATATTGACGATTGAAGGAGGTGGAGTCGCCTGGTTTCAGTTTGGAGGTAAAATTAGCGAGAAAATGGCCGTCAAAGTTGAGTTATATCCTTAGCTTGAGAGTCCGTGGAAACTGAAAATTCACATCTTTTATGCCTTTACTCTACGTATTTCACTTTCAGTAAAATCCACACATACATTTTTTTACGTGTTCTTTAACGGGCATGAAAGGTGTTGAGCCAAAAAAACACGATAAAAATTCCCAAACCTGCCCAAAAAAGGCCAGCAGTTTAAGTTGAAAGACTTTCATTATTTTGACGAGCGCCTGATTTCACCCCGCCGCCTCACATTTGTTGTTTGTGGACTCTGTGTGGAACTTTTGATTTTGTTATTTGTTACATGATGTTACGTGTTGAAATAAATGTCATTTGAACAGGAGAGAAAGCTCAGTTGTTGTTTTGAATAAATATACTGCTTTTAAACGTTGTCCTTGATTGATACAGCCAAACTCTATTATGTGGGTGGTTGGCGGGTGCTCTGGTGTGGTTTCCTTCTTCTTTCCTCTGATTATGAAACATCTATCGTCCTTATCTCCCCTTCTTTTTTATTATGTTTGTTACTCTCTTGTAACACCTCTAATCTTCTGGTGCTCATATGACCTTATGCAGTTGCATGCGCCATAAAACCTCTACTAAAACTAAAACTCTGTTGCCCACCACCAGGGCAGTGCCACTGACTGAAGTGTCTTTAAGCCATTCCTAAAAAGGGTGGATATTAACTTTCCCATTTTCTTCTTCATTACTCCTTTTGCTCTGCATGTTTTTCTCTCCATTTTTCCTCTGATCAGAGGTGTTGCTAGAGAGTTACATACAAAGACAAGAAGGAGGAGATGTAAAGACAATGGATAAGTTATTTTATAGGAGACAGAAGGAAAGGAGCATACCACAGCAGAACACCAGCCAACCACCCACTGGCAAATCTCAACGTATTATATTATTACTTGCCTGACCCCCTTTCGATGAATGAAATGATCGGCGTACTGTATTAACATCAACTGAAAGTCATTGGCCTACTATATTTACACTCTCCTGGAATGGAGCAAAACATCTTAAGAGATGCAAAAAATTAGGTCTAGATATAATATAGAGATGTATAGATTGGTTCTCTATTCTGCTTTCGTGGTTGTACACCCCAGAATTTCAAAGGTGTGGAAACAGTGACTTCGGCTAGTGAACGGAAACCTCACTTGTTTTCAATGGCGTCTTTGAAGACTCACTTTCCCAAGATTAGATCAAAACGAAACTAATGAAAAACTGAAAATTAAACTACACTGACTTCAGGCTCCTCAATACAACTGTGCACCCTTTACATGATTCTGAACCACCATTAACTTTGTCAAATTCTAAAGTTTAATGGTTCGGAAGTTTTAGGCTGCGAAAGTGACGAACTTTCACTTATATAATAAGAGAGACAGATTTATAATCTGTTCCTGTTCATTATCTCGTCCACACGTTTGCACTGCCAAGTCTCTGTCATTTTTTTCCTGGCAAAATGCACCGGGAATTTCCACGTTGGTTTGTATGGACCTTCAAAACTACCGAGATGATTGCGTTCAACAACAATGGAGATTTCACACCAGCGATCACGTGTTTGTCAGAGCTGCACGCCTTTTCTGCACTCTTGAACCTAAAAAAAAAAAATTTAAAAATTAAAAAAACGTAAGGTCAGCTAAAATAGAAGACTGTATGGACAAAAAAGCACGGCAATACAGCATACCGTTATGGTATAGAGAGAAAATTGCACAAAACTCTGGACAGGAAAATGGAATACCCCCAAAATGTGTACTTTATGATGACGATAATGCTTCTTTTGTTCAGGGAAACCCCGAAACCGCCCTCGTTGAGAGCTCAGAGACACTTCTGTAAAACCCAGCCCCTCTCCTCTCCCACCCCTCTCCTCTCCCACCCCCCTCTCCCACCCTCCTCTT